TTTCATTGCTTTCGTACCCTCCACTCGGTCTTCGGTTGCCCTTTTTCATCCGTTCGGGGCGGCAGGGGTTTTTTGGTGGTTGGTAAAGCGCGCGCGCGCCACCTTGGGATTCTGCGGGGGAGGGGGGGGGGGGGGGGCTGTGTGCTTCGGGAACGCGGTGTTATTTGCGGGCTTATTTTTGTCTCCCGAAAGTGCGTCGAAGTGTTTTTGTTGTGATCGCCACGCGCACGGTCATGTACAGCAGTATGGAGTCCACTTTTTTGTTTGTTTGTTTTTCTCTTGCTGTCTTGGGTGCTTAATTTCACGGAAACCGGGGGAGGGGAGCTCAGAATTGTTTTCTTTCTCAGGCGACATGAGCTCCCTTCCCCACTTCCCCATCAAGACCGACCTGTTTTCTTCTGAGCATTTGCCAGCAAGACGTAAACTCTTTTGTGTTGCATGCATACCTCGGGGCATCGTCGTTGTCAGTTGGTGTGTTGGCGAGGGCTTGTCGCTTTTTCGTCGGGCATACATACAGCTCTAGCTGGCAGCACGCGAAGATAGGTGGCTGGCGTCACAGTCGTCTGTGTGAGATCCGGCGTTGGCGGTCAGTAGTGTTCATGGTCATCTGTGTCCCTATACACATGGGAGCGTTCGTGCTGCATGTCGGCGTGGGAGGTCGTGTGTCGCCGTAGCTTGGTGTGCTGTGGAACACCCAGCCAGTGGTTGGATTAGGGGTGTGCAAAAGTCAAGAGAGAGAGCTTGTTCCTTGTTGAGGGTCGAGTTCGCCCGGCCTGTTCTCGATGATTGGTTGCTGGTGTGCATGTGCACAGCCCCCATCCCGCGATTGATCGATTCCGTGATTGTTGCTCGTAAGTCGGTACATGCGTTCTTCTTCTTTGCACTTCTTCCTCCTCCTCCTCCTCCTCCTCCCGTCTTGATGTTGTCGTATGTTGTCTGTTGCAGGCGTTCGGTGTTGCATCAGAGCAACGCTTCCCGCGTCGACGCTCCTGTATGTCGTCTTGTGCTCCCGGTGGAGGTTGTCGCAAGTTTTGCGGGTGCTGCAAACAGCGTTTTTCCTTTGATTTTGGGTGGGGTGGGGTGGGGCGGTACTCATGTACAAGCACGCCGTAGTCGGTAGGCCATCGAGTTCGCATCCCTGGGGGAGGACTTGCTGTCAAATGGCGAGGGTGTTTGACTTGCCGACTTGTTTGACACGCGTAAAAACGCGGTGTAGACGTAGCGGCGCATCGCACGGCCCGATACAGGAAGGTGGGGCTACCGTTGGCTGTCTACCCAGCGATTTACCCCTCCCTACCTTCAGGACGTACGTAAACTAGGATGTGGGCAGTTTTTGTGCGGTCGTATTTTCAGAGCGCCCACGCAGTTTTGCTCGTTTCGTGTTGTAGCTTGTAGTTGTTGGTTTGACTTGTTTAATATGTTTGTCGTCGGACGTGCTATTAGTGTGTTTGCTGTTGATTTGTTGACAGACTTTACTACAGGTGGCTGCGCATGCATGCGCGTGAGGGGGCCTGATCGTAAAATATAAGAAACGGTGTGTGATATCCTGGTTTTTCCTCATGAGTGACTCAAGACTCCACCTACGTTATAACAAAAGCACAACAACATGAGAGACAGAAAAGGCCTGAGAAGCACCACTGAACACAACCACCTAAGATAGGCAACAGAAACAAAAATAAACGGCCCCGCTATGAAACCATTTTACACAACTTGGCCAATTCGAATGTTTCGTACAGGATGCAGGAGCTATAAAGTGTAAATAGGTATAGCCATTACAACGCATACTAGCCAATAGAGGACACAAACTAAACGCACATTTTTTGTTTCCCGTACTGTCAGCAAAACCAAACGCCCCTCGTCTATCGTGCCTGGCGTCGACAGACTTTCAAAAACAAAGGCCCGACAAATGACTTCCACTGACGACTACTGCTGTCAATCTTCTTGAGATTCAGACCACTCCTCGTCCTCTTCACTATCCCCGGCCATCTCCCCCTCCACACTGCTACCCCCGACCCCGGCCTGCAACGGTCCAAAGAACGCCCCCCACACCCTCCCTACCAGACCTCGCCGGCCTTCTCTAACTTCCGCCGCCACCGCCCCCTCCGCACTTTCTTCTTCTCTCTCACGCCTAGGCGAAGCCCCGCTCCCGCGGGCGGAACTCCGCATGTCAAGCCGCACGGGTGGAAGCCTCAGCTCCTCCCCGTCCTCGTCGTCGCAGAACACTTGGAGGTCGAGGTAGCGTCGCCGTTGCCGGACTCGCGCCCCACCGCTTTCTCTCTTGAGGGCGGTAACAGCGGCGTCGTTGCTTTCGTGGCGATCTCCGGTGTCGCTCTCCCCCTCCTCCTCTTCCTCCTCCTCCTCCTCCTCTTCCTCCTGCGCGTGCCATCGCCTCCGCTCCTGATCGCCGTCCTCGACCAGCGACTCTGGCCGACTTGCCCTCGTTGGGGGTTCCAACACCTCTCCCGCCGTAGTCGTCGTGGTTGTTGACGTGCCCCCCGGTCTAGCAGCAGTAGCAGCAGCAGCAGCAGCAGCAGCACCGCCCCCCTCGGCTACCCCTTCTCCCGCCGCCGCCTCCGCGGCCGCCGCCGGAGCGGGAGCCGCCCAACCAGAGCCCGCCGCCACAGGAGAGGCGCGGCGGAAACCCTTCCCGCCCAAACCTCCACCGCTCCCGCCGCCGAAGTTAACATCACCAGCAGCAGCACCCCCGCCGGCAGCGGTGTTGGAGTGTTCTTCGTCTTGCTCCCCCTGTGCCGCCGCCGCCACTCCCCAAAACTCTTCCTCGAACCAGTCGAACACCGGCGGGTCCGCCTCCTCCTCCTCCTCCTCCTCCTCGCGAGCGGGCACAGCCGAAGCATCGGCACCTTCGTCGGGCGTCGACGCCCCGGCCACCGCCACCGGTCCTTCTGTCTCCGTTGCCGTCGCCGTCTCTGCCGCCGCCGCCCACGGCTTCGCTTCCTCTCCCCAGAACGACTCTTCCCTGCCGGCCCTCCCCCAGAAAGCCGCGCTCCCGGTGGAACCCCCCCACGAAGCGACACCGCCGGACTCCTGCTGTTGAGTCTGAGTCGAGTATCCTTCCTGCCAAGCGCCCGACGACGCTTTCTGTTGCTGCCCGTCTTCCCAGCCGCCTTGCTGCGCCTGCCAGTCCTGACCGTACGAGCCCCCGCCCTGCCACCCGTTGCCGACAACACCTCCGTCACCCCCCCCGACCCCGGCCCCGCCATGAACCCCAAATCCGTCACCCTCGCTACCGCCGTACGGCCAATCGCCGTCCTGCCCCACACACACCCCCGCCGCCGCCGCCGCCGCCGTTCCTTCGACGACACCGTACAAGCCCCCGCCGTACCCTTGGTCTCCGTACACCTCCGCAAACCCGGGGCCACCGGAACCGTCGTCCATCGTAGCCGTCGCGTCGTCGAAAACGGCGGCGGCGGCGTCTCCTCCCATTGTGAACGGCGACGCGGGGACGGCTTGATCGACGACCTTGTCGCCGCCACCGTCGCCGCCGCCGCCGCCGCTGACGCCGCCGTCACGGGACATCCAGTCTTGGCCTCCGTCGGTGTCTAGGGCTTCGGCGAGCTGCCACAGAGGCGTGTCTAGGACGGGGTGGGGGTCGCCTTCTTCGCCTTCGTCGTCGACGTCGCCGTGCATGAAGCTCGCGTACAGGAAGGCGTTCTTGTACGAGATCATCGACACCTCGGCGGCACTGCGTAAGGTTGTTTGCCATGGGTTGAGAGGAATCAACGAAAAAAACATGGTCGGGAGGAATCATGGAAGGAATCAGCACACCGTGGTTCGAAGGAAATCGCCAAAATACCAACGTTGGAGGGAGTCAACACGTGTGGTTGTTGAGGAATCATGCAAAAAACAGCGCTGGAAGGAAACACAAATTGCCATCGTATGGAGGAACCAAAAAACATGGTTGCGAGGAATCACCAGACCGTTTACACCATGACGCGTTCAAATTATTCAGTTTCATGGGGAGCAAGGGCAGGTCGGAGGATTGCCATCGAGACATGTCTTTGAGAGCGACAGACAGACAAAAAAAATATGTGTCAACGGTGGCGGTGGCTGTCACGGATCAACAGAAATGAAAAAAAGAAGAAAAATCTGACCATCCGCTGAGAATAAAAGCACCACATAATACGCCAAATAACGCGCGAACAATCATACACCATCTATCTCCCCTTGGTGACCTGCGGTGTTAGCTTAGACCGATTATCCCCTGGACCCAAAAGTGGTCAGAACCCCAAAAGTCTTGATTATGTGTATGTTAGAGGTCAAATAAGCCAGCGGTGGCAAACCACTTTAGTCTACAGGGGACAAACCTCCTCCGACTAAAACAGAAGAACTACATTCGGGGGTCCCGCTGGCTTTGGTTAGAGGATACATCCCCAAACCGCGCGTCTATGTAACATCAACACTGCAACTGCAGCCTACCCTCCCCCTCCTCTCACCCGCGCTCGCTCTTCAAGAACTCCACAAGCCCCCTGACCGTCAGATCGGCCGCCCCGTCCACCACCACCTTGTCCCAGATCGTGAACCCCCCCTCCCCCCCGCCCCCAGAGGCCCCGTCGATCGGCTCGGCCTCGAGGGGCTCCGAAAATGCCACGAAGGGAGCGGCGAGATTGACGAAACCGTTCTTGTGGTCTGTGATCGGGGCTCCCTGTATGAGCTGTGGGTTCACACGAGTTGGGGATAGGGGTGGCGGCACGTCCATTCGTTTGTTGCGGTTGGGAATCTTTCAAGAGTCTAGAAAAGTACATTCGCAAACCCTCAGCAGAACTCAAACACTGGGGGGGGATATCCACATATGCATACCCACAACCAGTTGTCGTATTATAGTCCCCTCAACAATACGACAAGAAAACAAGACCTCCCAACGACGACGACGAAATACGAACTGTACACCATCCGAACTAGCGTTGAGCTTCACCGTTACCTTGAGGAGTTCCACGCAGGCGAGGCCGGAGACGACGGCCGTGGTGGTGGCGATGGCGGGAACAATCTTCCCCGCGATGCGCTTGGTCGACAGCCTGTCCGCCGCGGGTATCCCGTAGTTCGAGGCGCGGAGGTTGGAGGCTGCGGTGATGAAGTCCACGTGTCCGTTGAGGTCGTCGTCCTGAGGGGGCACCGAGCAAGTGGAGAGTCCGAGGGCGTGGTGGGAGGGATGTCGGCTGCTGTATACGACACAACACCAGAAAACACACACCCCGGTGATGTGATGTCTGACATTTTGGCAACAAATAAAACCATAGCCGGCCGGATGTGTGCTATCATACGCGGCCCTAATTGCTTGGCCTGAGAGTAGTTTAATGTGAGCGATAGGTAGTTGGTGGGCGGGCTACTGCTGTACACCACACTACTCAAGAACCCCCCCCCCCCCCCGGGTTTGCCCTTGGGGTTGGGTTTTCGTCCCTTGGGAACCATGTTTTAAAGCAAGCCAATCACTTTTCTGAGCTCGGCGACCAGGTTACCGGGTTTTTTTTTGGCTTTGG